CCTCCTTCTCTTCTTCTTCCTCCTCTTTTACTTCTTCTTCTTCCTCCTTCCCTTCCTCCTCATTTGTTTCTTCCTCCTCCTTCCCTCCCTCTTCCTCCTCCTCCTTCTCTTCTTCCTCATTTAGTTCCTCTTCCTCTTTCTTTTCCTCTGCTTCTTCCTCTTTTACTTCCTCATCTTCTTTTGTTTCTCCCTCCTCCTCCTCCTCTTTTATTTCCTCCTCCTCTTCAGCCTTAACGATTTCTTCTTCCTCTTTCTCTTCCTCCTCTCCTTCTTTTGTTTCTTCCCCTGCTTCTTCTGCTTCATCTTCTTTGGTTTCTTCATTTTGCACCTCATCCTCCCCCTCACCCTTTTGACTCTCTGCTATTTCAGGTTCTTCTCCGTCTCCATTTAATTCATTTACTTCTGGCTCCTTTTCTTCCTTGTCCTCCACTTCTTCACCTGCCTCGGGTTCACCCTTGATGTCCTGGGCTGTTTCTGCAACAATGGCTTCCTCCTTGTCATCTTTCTTCAGCCTCAGGATTTGCTGCAAATCAAATGCTTTCATGACTGGGGCATTGGTGGCCACCACGAGGGGTCTTTGGGGCTTGGAGGCCATTTTTTTCCTCACACAGGAGTCACATGGACAATATTCCTCCTCGCTTGATTGTTTACTAATACTCTCATCAAAAGCTGCACTAAGTGCTAAGTCTTTATCTACATCGAGGGATAAGTCTAATGTCTCCTCCAGCCTGCTTTGGTTGCCGTTCTTGCCACCAAAGAGTGACTTTTTGTGCATAGTTTGCAATCTCCACCTCCTCTGCTCTGTCTGGAGTTTTGACTGAAGTGTGGGTGGCTCATCCGGAGGTCTCGGCACCCTCGTCCCAGCTCTGCTTCTGATCTTCCTCAACTCCTTCTCTATGCTTTTTTGTATCCTTTTACTCACTTCCTCCTTCAGCTCCTGTATCATTTCATCCATCTGCTGGTTGTGCTGCAGGTTCCACCTGACTTTTAACTCATTCATGGCGTTGACATAGTGAGCCATGAACTCCTTCTCGATTTTTTTGAGCAGCCTCAGGACCCAGACTGGGTCTGGATCCACTGATTTTTGCCGGACAGCGGATGTGCCCACACTGGTGGATGTACCGACTTTGGGCTCTGGGTCACTTGGTGACTCTTTTTCAAGATGCCCTTCCAAATCAGCTTTTATCTCCATCCCAGCATCAGCATCATTGACATTTGTATCATCAGTGGTGGCTTCCAGATTTTCTTGTGGGAGTTCATCATTCACAGCTCCAGCTTCTTCTTGTTCTCCAGTTTCAGCTAATTTGCTGGTTTCTTCATTTTCATTTTCTCCCCCTTCCTCCTGACCGTGTTCACAGGTATGGCACTGATCCTCCTCCTTCTCTTCTTCCTCCTCAATTAGAGATTCCTCTTTAGCAGACTGTGCTTTTTCCTCTCTGTGTGAGTCTGAGCAGGCTGTTGAAGGGCGGGATGGCTGCGCTCCCTCTTTACTTTGCTCCTCAACCTCAGTCACTTCAGTGCCAGTCTCTGTATTTTCCACTTCGGCTGGTTTGAATTCAGCAGTTTTCTGTGCCACCAAAGTGGCACCAGCTGTACATTCTTCTCCTGAGCCACCAGAACCACTGCAGACATCAACCCCAGAGGAGGACATGTGAGTGAAGGTGTGATCCATAGGTTTTGGGCCTTTGAACCCAAGGTCTGGCTTTGCCTGCTCGCTGGCCTCTTGACCTGAGCTTGGACCGCTCCTTTCAGCTGTGCATCCCAACCACAGGGCTTGAAAAATATTCAGCAGCTCCGTATACCTTGACTTATTCAAAGCTTTTGAGTTGTCTGATGGGTCTTCTGACTCTTCATCGAGGAGTTGGAGACTGGCAAGACAAGTGATCAAAACGTTGGCGGAGTTGCTGAGTTTTCTCCCCATGGTGGGGGACACTTCGGGCAAACTGTTCGATCGGTCAAATTTGGTCTCGTGTTTTGAACTGAGCAAGGCCTTCATGATCTGGACAGAAGTCTGAACAGAGGTGGGCAGGTCTCTCCTGTTGTTATTTTGGCTGGAGGTGACTGACTGGTTGCTTTCTGCCTGCTCAGCTTTGGCAGCCTCAGTTGCAACCTCACAGACTTCTTCCTGTTTCACACATTCTTCAACCTCTTCATTAATTGCTGTGTCTTCTGCTGTGTCTCCTGCTGTGTCTCCTGCTGTGTCTCCTGCTGTGTCTCCTTCCACTTCAACCTTTGCTTCATTTTCAACCTCCTCCTCATTCTTTTCCTCAGCTTTTTCATCCTCTGGGGCTTCCTCGGCGTGTGTACAGTGTGACACCTCGGTAACTGTCTCTGTACCTTCCTCTTCCACATCGTCCTCCATTTCATATTTCACAAGCAACGTTTCTGAAGGGATTTTTCTGAGCCACTCTTGCACAACTTCTTCTGGAGACGTATTTGGCAGAGCAGATGGCATTAAATCACTCTCTTCCTCCTGCACACCCATGTCTTCTGGCGCTTCCTCTGCTTTTTTTTTGCAAGAATCATCGGTCTCTTTATTATTCTGATCGTTTACTTCGGGTGCTGCTGACCTAGACCCATAGGAAGTCTCTTTGGAGGAATCTACAATTTCTTTCTGCTCTTTTCCTGTGCTCAGCACCGACTTGGTGCCTACACTGCTAATGGAGGAATTCTTCAGTGTGGTTGGACGCATGTTTTTCCTCTTTGGCTTCCCTTTGGGTGGGGCAGGGCAGTGCAGGCTGTGCACTGACGTGCTCTCAGACAGTGATGCCCGGCTGGAGTTTGACATCTTCACCCGAAGATTGTTGTTTTTTGTCTGCCTTGACTTTGAAGATTGAGACATGTTTGAGTGTGAACACCTCTCATCTGTCTCCTGGGACATCTGTGCCAACAAGAATTTATCTTTTACTTCTGATTTTGAAGAGACTCTTGAAGAGCTACTCGTAGGCTTTCCATTCCTAATCTCATTCTCAGTTGTGTGGTCAGCTTTGGAACATACACTTGCACTCATACTTCCCTGTCTGGAAGAAGAGGGCTCTGAACTAACCTTGGCATGACCCTCTCCCGCTTTTCCACTAGGACTTGAAGATTTTGAGCAGAGGGATGATGGTTTACTACTGTCTCCTCTATGGCTTCTCTTCTTTGAGCCTTTTGAGGATTCACTGTAGTGACTGGTGGTACTTTTAGAGCTTTTCTTCTCAGCAGGACCTGCAGTTGCTTCTGCTGCACTAGTAGATGAAATGTTTGAGTGAAGAGATCCTGACTTTTGAGACATGGCATCTCCAGAAGATTTTTTCTTGGTTGCACATGAGCTTTTGGAGTAATTGGATGCTCTGCTGCATGATCTTGCATCATCTGCATGTAGGGAATTCTTCTTTTTATTCGGAGAGGATCCAAGTGAAGACACAGACATTTCAGACTGTGCATCCAAATGAACGTGGCTGCGTTTGCTCTTTTTGGATCCTCTGGAAGAGCAAGAGATGTTGCATGCAACGTTCTCATCACTGTCACTTTTTTTGCTGTTCCTGTCAGTAGCTCTGGAGCGGCTTCCTTGTGTAGAGCATCGTTCCCCTTCACTGCTCTCATCCCTAATTGATCGGCTGGGCTTTGTTTTTGCTGACACTGAGCTGACTTCTCTGACTTCACTTTCATCTTCCTCTGCTTCTGCCTCTTCAGCCTCTTTCTTAGGGCAGGACTCACTGGACAAGGAGGAGACCACTGGATTTTCATCAGACTGGTCATCCTGCTCGCTCTTTGCTTTTTGGGTGGTGCAGTTGCTGGACTTGCTGTGCACACTGTTGGCAGGGGTGGAGCTCCGAGAGTTCTCTCCTTGATTTGCCTTCTGAAGGCTTGAGGAGGAGGACATGCTCCTACCCACGCTGCTGGTTTCCTCACAGACATTATTCTTGCTCTGTTTGGACTGCAGGGATGACTTTGACATGACACTCCCAACTCTGCTGCTCTCAGCCTCTTCCACGTCATCCTTTAAGCCCTTCACAGAGGAAGCTTCGAAACAGTTTTCCTCTTCATTTTGTGAAATAGTTTTGCTGATCTCAGGGTCTTCGGGGGCATCTTGAGTATCCAGGTTGTTTTCACAGCTGGAATGTGACATTAAACCCACGGATGAAGGTTTCTGGCCATTCCCTGTGCTTGCCCGACTATCTCCTTGCTGATCTTCTCCAATGGAAGCACCTGTAGACAAATCACTTCGGCACCTGCACTTTTTGACGGATCGATACGCCACTCTGTTCTCTATAGTCTCTGAGTAGGACGAGGATTCTCTCACAATGTGCTCAGAGAATTCCTCACTGGACGTGGTGTGGAGGCTGTCCACGGAAGTAATTTTTTTGTGGATGACTCTCCTCCGGGAGGACGTGCTGGAGCACGACGACCGCGTGCGCCAGGTGCTCCGTACGCTGGGCTCTTCCCTCTGGGATGTGTGCATGGGGTTCTTCCAAATGTCGTAGTCCTGGTGCTTCTTCCCACAGCTGTGACAGTGGGCCTCGTCACACTCGGATTCCTCAAGTTTTGACATATAGGAATCGATCTCACAGGGATACAACGAGTCATCCGCCTCCGAGCTGACTTCTGGGTTCATTTTCTGCAGGGGGTCCACTCCACTGTCCTCCTCTGCTCCTGACTCCTCACAAGGCAGCCGGTTCAGCAGGTTGGACTTCTTGATCTGGGTGGACCACTGCAAAGTCTCATCATTCAGCAGGCGGAAGCGGACCTTCATCTCAACAGACAAGCTCCCATCCTTGTTCACGTGCACCCGCTTCTCTATGTCGTCGTTGACCAGGGACTGGACCAACTCCCCGGCCTTGGGGTGGGAGCAGCCGTTGGAGAAAGGTGCTCCATTATCCGGTGAGGCAGCGAGACCGTTGGGATACGACTTTTCCGATGACAAAGAAAATCTCATGGACCTGTTGCTTGATGACGACCGCGGATGTATAACGCTTTTTTTGGCTTTCAGTCCGAAGTTCACTGGAGTGAAGGAAAGAAAGATGGAGAGAAATGTTAACTCATATAAAGATGACACAAAATGCCTAAGTCAAACCCTCGAACTAGAGAATATTGATGTTATTCCATAAAAGCCAAGCCTGTGTCAATTTACGTATTTGAAAATTTGTCTTTGACTAAGTGATGGCCATAAATCACAGAGCCACAGAATAATTAGGGTTGGAAGGGACCCCTGGAGATCATCTAATCCAACCTCCTTGTTAAATGTTAAGTTTTGAATTAATCACGTGTATTAAAATCTTCAATGCCTTAACTTTGTCATTTTTTATAATCTAAATTGAAAGAGAAACACTTTGTGTTATTAAGTGCATGCCAGGAAGTCAAATAAATAAATAAATAAATACACACAGAGAGAGCAATTTAGTCTCAGAGTTTTCATATTTTATCATGTTGCAAATACTTCTTTCTTTAACTGTTCAAGTTTTCGTCTTTCTTATTCAGCCAGGGAAAAATACATGGAGAAGTGACTTCCTTAATTACAGGTCAATTGTCACACATTCCCAGGCTCCCCAGGGAAGTGGTCACAGCACCAAACCTGTCTGACTTCAAGGTGTGTTTGGACAGTGCTCTCAGGCTCATGGTGGGATTCTTGGGGTGTCCTGTGCAGGGCCAGGAGTTGGACTCGATGGGTCCTGATGGGTCCCTTCCAACTCTATGATTCTATGATTTGTTGTGCACCGTCCACTTCTCCATTCACATGCCAGGAAACATGTGGTCACGTAGACCAGGGCAACACTCAGTCCCCTCAGGGATGTGCCACTATCAATAATTATGATGTTTATTAAAACATAAAGAACAAATAGAAAAAGAATTGTAATCTGGTGATAAATAGTGGTATTTGCAGAAGGAATCAGTGATAGGAAGGGACTTTAGGAATTGTAATCTGAAGCATCTCTATGGCCCAGTGCAGTGCCGTGCATAGATTTACTGAGGTCCTAGACTCTTCATTTCAAGAAGAATATGTTGCTATCAGGCTGCCTTGAAAGACATTCATCTATCTTGTTTCTAATCTATGTTTGTCCAAAATTTGCTTGTATATATATGTGAACAATCATGTGTCTCCATGGGCATATGGACACACAGCTGAATGAAGGCATTTTGGGAAGGGAGTGTTGAACGGGAGCACATCAGCCAAGGCAAATAACACACAAAATAGCTTTCTCTAATCATCTTTATGCATTTGAACTGATATATTTGCTTGGTCTCTTGATGGACAAAGGTCCAGTTTATTCCCATGTTTCCCCCCAGTTTTTTACGTCTCAGGCAGTGAGTGTGGAATGTCTCTGTCCATAAAATCCTACAACTAGTTGCCAACACACAAGTGAATCTTTCCCAGCTCCTGGTATTGACAATGGAGAAAAACAGGTCCACCTCCAGAGCACATTTAATTTCATCCCTCAACAAATCCCTAATATACGTGAGATTATTGCCCTTTGGAAGTGGGAAGTTTCCTTTCATAGGCTAAGAGGGTGGCTAGTTTAATTACCTGTGACCTTAGATAACTCATGGTGAAGAATATAATAAGAAATATAATCCTGAATAATCCATAACATACTCCTTCCTGAAAATAACCTTTCCATAAAAATATGCTTTTTTCCCAAACAGGCAGCTGTAACCTGCAGGAGAAACTGAGTCTCCTGCTGACAGAACCAGGGCATCCTCTGGTCCTGGTGCAGGGTAGTCCATGAGTGCAGGCATGACATGACAGACAGACAAGGGGATAGAGGATCCGTGGGAAATCTCAAGGGTTTGGGGAGACAGACACAGGAAAGGAGGGAGTTCTGGAAGGAAAAGGAGACACAGAGATATGAAAGAGGAAGGGAAGTAAGCCAGACACGGGGAGCATGCAAGAGAAAGACTGGGGGGCGTAGGGAGGAAATCCTAGAAGGAAACCAGAGAAAAAGAAGGGGAGGATGGAAAGGCCTGGGAGGGAGGGAGAGGGAAGTGCCTTTTCCACACGAAATCTGCACGTTGAGGCAGCACAATGGGTGCCTGTAATGCCCATGTTGTGGGACACAGGCCTGGAGACACCCAGAGCTTTGCTTACTTTCATTGTTCTCGTTGACGTTGTTGCCGTTGGAACGGGGAGGCAGGTTGGGCAGCTTCTCCACCGAGTGTTTCCTCAGATTCTCCATGGACACAGGTTTAAAGGGCTCCCGGCCGACACACACCAGCACATTGGGGCAGTGGAGCAGGGCCTGCATGCTGTCAATCTGGGAAGGGAAGAGCAAGGGGATCACCAGGAGTTGATAGAGAAGAGCTGGATTCTTCCAGGCCCAGAATCAACTGACAGTTAGTTGGCACTTAAATGAAAGAGTATTTGGACAACGCTCTCAGGTGTGATTTTTGGGGTTGTCCTGCCCAGGAGATGGGCTTGATCATCCTCGGGGGTCCCTTCCAACTCATGATATTCTGTGATTTTGTGAAAATAAATGTGGTTCTGGAGAACTTTGTGGTCTGCCAGGACCTTCTGGCCAACTCTGTTGGAATATTCTTCCATTGGAAGAGAAGCTCTGCTACATTTAATCAGATTTCCTAAGACAGGGAAGGGGTGGGAGAGATTGCCTAAGGGAGAAGAAATCTCATTTATTAAAAGGTTTTACATATTCTGGGAAAGATTTAGTCATAATCAATGTGGCAGTGAGGAAAAGAGTGGAACTGGAGGCATTTCAGTTTTGCTTACAGAGAATTATGTTCTTTAAATTCCTGTATTTCCTATATGGGACGGCAATTATTACCTGGCAAATGCTACATTTCATTTTGGTCCTTAGTTCTCTTCCTTTCTTTGCTCAGGAAGAGGAACAAGAATTGTGAATTCCCCTAATATTACCTCAAATTCTGTCTGAATTATAACCCCACTTATTGCCTCAATGCTGGACAATGAGGGACGTTGTCCCTCAGTGTGGGAAGTGCCTGTGAAGGAATCTTTGTTGCTCCATGAGAACACAGATTTACACTCTTCATCCTCACTGCATGACTTGTTTATGGATACCACACCAAGTCCTACATGAGTCACTTTTCAGGGAATCATATAGAAAAGTTTGGGTTAGAAGGGACCTTTTAAATGTCACCTAGTCCAACCCCCTGCAATGAGCAGGGACATCTTCAACCAGAGCAGGTTGCCCAGAGTCCCATCCAACCTACCCAGATACAAAACTTACTTCTCTAAAAGAATAGGAATCAATCTGTGATGAGCACTGGTCAGATAGAGTCAGGACCCATCTTCAGTGACAGGACTCGAGGGAATGTCCTCAAGTTGTGTCAGGGCAGGTTTAGGTTGGGTATCAGGAGAAGGTTCTTCCCCCAGAGAGTGGTTGGGCACTGAACAGGCTCCCCAGGGCAGTGGTCACGGCCTCAGGGCTGCCAGAGCTCAAGGAGTGTTTGGACAATTCTCTCAGGCACATGATGTGACTCTTGGGGAGAGTCCTGTGCAAAGCTAAGGGTTGGACTGGATGATCCTTGTGGGTGCCTTTCAACTCAGTATATTCTGTGATTCTATGATTCCATTTGGCTCCTGCAACTTCATATTTGAAAGACTGAGGTTAAGCTTTCAGCTAAAACACTTAATGCTTTTAAAAGGAGGAAAAAGATCTCTTTCTGTCTGAGAGGACTTAAGAGGGGCCAGCATCTGGCAGCTTTGTGCTCCATAATCCATCTGGGACATCCCCTCCTCCTCACTCTGTTTCATCATGAGAACATCTCTAGAGCATATGGGAACTCCTCAACAAGAGGTGACCACACCAAGCCAGCGTTGCTGGTGGGCTCAGCACTATCCTGCCCCCAAGATGTCTCCTGACCTCACTGTGTCACTTAATCATCATCCCTTTAACGAGCAGCTGAATATAGAAGATAAGGAATCTCCGAGGAGCAGCGATGACAGGTCTGCCGTTGTCACACATGCCTGGAATAACACCACATGAAGGACAGAACTTGGCCTCTAAATATTGCTACAGCCAAGGAATGAGGGGCCAAACCCACTTGAGAGCCCAAGCCCTTGGTTTGTCAAATTCCTCTGGGGTTTTCCAAGATGACTTGGTACCACCAGGGCTGTGGGAGGTACTGAGAGATTAGTGCTGGATCTGGTGCAAATAAGAGAAGGGTAAACGTATGTGGGGTGAAACAACAAGACAGAGATAAATAAAATCACATTCTAGATGCAGTTAATCACTTCTGGTCACTTTTCTTACAATAAGCCATATGGCATCATCTTCTAATGGAAATACACTAAAATCCCATTGTCTTTCCTTTATTTTTTATTTACTGTTTGCACTATAATAACACTTGTGACTCAGACCCACTGAATTTGTTTCTATAAAACCCACAGTAAGAGAAGCTCTGCTTACTGAAACTTGCATTATACACACTGTGCAAAGCAACAAAACTGCCGAGTCCCTGTGATCAGTAACATAAAACTTCAAAATAACCCCCAAATCTCAGTCTCTCTCCGTCTACTGCTTGTCATTGGTCAATAAATCCACTTCCGGTCCATCTATTCCTAAAGAAAACATCTTTCCAGCTCACTTTAAAAATTTAGGAAAAGCCTATAATTTAATAAATCAAATATTTTGAGTAGGTTTTTGCCACTTGTATATTTCTTTTCCTTCTTCATTTTCCTGTTCTTTTTTCTTTTCATTTGTATTCCTTTGGTGAGGTCTTTAACCCTGACTCCATAGAATTGGGGAAAAAAAAACTGAGGGTAAAAAAGAAGAAAGAGAAAAGGGAAAAAGAAGGAGAGGAAGAAAGAAAAATAGACATGAAATCTTTTCCGTTTCTGATGTAAAACAATCTGTCTTTAAATCCCCACTAAGTTTAGATTTGTAAAGGGCATTTTTTTCAGTGAAAGCTATTTTTTGCACAGGATATTTCCTCACATGGATCTGTGTAGATACTTCAATCACACTCATCACCACTGCGTTGTGTGTGCAGAAAACAGATGGTGGCAATGACAGAGTCTGAGGAATCAATGGAACTGAACCAGTTGAGTTATTGGATTTAAATATATTTATAAATATATAGATTATATTTTTTTTCCACAAGCCAAATCCTTTTATATGGACAGAACTTGTGTTATGTCACTTCAAATAGTCTGTCATGGAGCATTTCTGACATCACCAGCTTTTTAGCAGTTTTTATACCTATAACATAACTTTTCTTCCTAATATCTTGCAAGCCATAATCTCTTTGAATTAACAATTGCAGAAATTCATCTTTGCGGTTCTTCATTGCTAAAAGCATTTTGGCAGTGTAAATACAGATGAACATTTTCTAAGGGTTAAATAAATCATATTTCTCCCATTGATTTGGTTTAATGCAACATCCTCTCTCTCAGGGCAGCGCTGGAGGGTTGGGGTAATAGTTTGCTCAGTACAGAGTTTTCCCACAGTGCTGCAGGAATCCCATCCTCTCAACATGTCACTGCCTGGACTATACAGTTGACATCTTCAGGGCACTCAATATGACATCTTTTACTGGTGCTAAATTATCTTCAAACAGTGTGTGCCCTCTGTTTAGCAACTTGCAGCTCACTCAGTGAGTCCCAGGGTGAGGTCAATGTGTTGCTTCTTGGATTTCCTTCTTTCTAAAGAACATATAGAAGTTATTTATAATCTGAAGGGAGCAGATCCTGGACCTGCAGTCATGCCAGCTTGCATTTTGCTCCTGAAGGTGATGAGTGAAATACTGACCCCATTTCAACCAGTGGTAGTCTCCTCTGGCTTTTCTGGGGTCTGCATCACACTGCCTGTAACTGGGAAACAACTGGGAGCTTTCTTTTCATCATCATCATCATCATCATCATCATCATCATCATCATCATCATCATGGTATGAGTTGGAAGGAACCTGAATGATCATCCATGGGCAGGGACACCTTCCACTAGCCCAGGTTGCTCCAAGCCTCATCCAATCTGGCCTAGAATACTTGCAGGGGTGGGGCATTTACCACCTCTGTGTACAACCTGTGCAAGGGCCTCACCACCCTCACAGCCAAAAATTCCTTCCCAATCTCCCCTCTAACCCTGTCCTCTGGCAGTGGGAAGCCATTCCCCCTTGTCCTGTCCCTCCAGGGCCTTGTCCCAAGTCTCTCCCCAGCTCTCCTGGAGCTCCTTTAGGCACTGGAAGGGCTCTCAGGTCTCCCTGGAGCCTTCTCTTCTCCAGGTGAACCCCCCCAGCTCTCTCAGCCTCCTTTGCTTTTGCTGTTGTGCAAGAGAAGTGACCCTGTTCTTCTCCTTGGATGTAACAACCACAAGACAAAGAGTCCTTTTGACTTGTGAAACTGTATTTTCCATTCAACTTCTGCCATTGATTTTCATGCTGGGAGAAGAAACTGGACATTAGACATAAACTTGGTGAGAGGTAAGATTGCAAGATTTGGCAATAACCCCCTGGTGAAAAGCAGACACAGTAGCTGTTCACATGTCAGAAATATGAGAGCCCTGGAGAAAGAGATGAAAAATTAGATCAGATTAAAATATAAGAACATAATATGAGACATCAAAGGTAAGGCAGTTTAACTCCAGCCAACATGTCCACTCAATAGGAACCAGGAAGCCCCATTTGAGCTGAATATTGAACACTCAGAGCTCCACTGGGAAGGCCACCATGTGTGGGCTGAAAATAAAGGAACATCCTCTCTTCTGCAATATGCTGAAGTCTTTTTTAGTCTGGTTGCTATCCATCCAGGATGGGTTGTCTCCACGAACATTGCTGTGCAGAACCTGCCACAAAGGGGCTGTGATCTCAGCAAGGACCTCCAGGTGCTACTGCAACACAATTAATAATACAATGTCATCGATACCTAAACAGAAACAAGGCACAGATAGCATCTCTAAAACAAGGAAGCTGTTTGACATGGAGAACATGCCATTCTCTGGCTCTTCCCAAAGAAAAAAAGAACCATTGTAAACCTTGCTCACCTCAGAAGATGAATGTGGATACCAGTTTCTGATGAAGGCAAAATGAAGAAGACACCATTTTCTTTCCCTCTGCTGGCTGCCAGCCAACCAGAGACATTTGGGACTTAGACAGAATGTGGAAATAATGCAAGACACTGTTCAGAGGACAAGTCCATAAGCTGATCCACCTTCCAAAGGCGTGCAGGGATTCATGGGAGAAACAGGAGAAGCTTGTAACAGAGCAGAAGAACAGGCTAACGGGCTGAGTCCATTCCCCATCCTGCTGACTCACTGCCTCCTTTCCTTGAGCTCTTTCATCTG